GAACCAGATCCACATTGGGACCTTCACAGCAGACTTTAACTTGTCAGAGCAGAGAAGCAGACGGTGAAACCAAAGATGTTGTTTCTGACCTGACTCAGACTCCCATCAGAAGGTAAGCCGTTCCAGGGAGCCAAGCATTCACATACCAGAAACCCTGGAACTAGCTCCCCGATGAATGCAAGTGGCAGATTATGTTATAGATTATACTTTGAGCTCCGCTATAACAAGACAATGTGCGGGAAAAAAATATCTATCGGGCCATAGCTTCATTTTTGCTTCGGCCCCATTGTAATGCGTAATCCGGCCCAAGGACCCTGTTTCAACTTGATTGCAAATGAATGCATGAGTTCAGCAAACTTATACGCCCTCCATGGATGATCCTAATGGAGCGTTCAGCACTGGCAAATCCAATCCAATTGCTAATGTCAACCAGCAGAATTGTAATTGTGTTGTTACAAATGTGAACAGATTGAATGCAATAACAAAAAAATGAGGTGCATGTGGATCCCAGCTGAATCCTGAAGTCCACTATGGGAAGTTTTCTTGACACCTCATTAACCATTTATCTCATGAGACTGGCGGTGTGAGGGAGCATGGAGAGACTGGGGGGGGGGGGGGTATGTCGGGCGGCAGAAAGCTAAATGAGAGCAGGCGTGTTAAGTAAGGTTACCATTCAAAGTGGTTGTGAAACGCGAGAGACGAAAGGTCCCTCTCCTCCTCCTTCATCCTCTCTTCATCTCCTCTCCTCCTTCCCTCATTCATCACATGCCCCCTCAGTCCAGCCCCTCTCTGAAGCACAGAGCTGAAGCTGAGCGCAGCTCCCGTCACATTCTCTCTTCTCCTCCTGAGAGGCTCGCTGCATTCCAGCGCTGTGGCGGCTTTCCCGTCCCAGAATGACCTTGCTGTGAGATTGACCGCGCTCCCATCACACTGCATTGGATTATTGGAAATGTTTCTCTGTTGTGCGCTGTTGCTATAGAGCATGTGCTGGAATGAGCATTTGGACAGGAGTGCTGTGAGTATGTAGGCGGATTACTGAGGACGCTCAGATACACAACGAGACGATCCGGACAGAACAAAGCTCGGTGCAGATTTGTTCATGAGCAGGAAGAGGGACCATCTTTTATCTGTGCTCAACACCTAGCCCATACCTGTTTAGCAGCTTTAGCAGAAGGAGATAAAGCCCGGTTTGATCTGGACTTTCCGTTTGGTATTTAAGTTTGGTTTGCAAACAGCAACTCCAGCCTCCTCTTATGTGTGTCTCCGTTCACACTCAGTTGCATGAGGATCATTTTGGCTTTGCATGGTAGAGAAATACAAATCATTTCCCTAAGGCTTCTTTAGTTGGAGAAGAGTTCACAGCAGTTTGATTCATTTGGTTGTCAGCTCTTAAGAAACAGTACAATTCCGCCGATGCCCTTCATGTCATTCATTTTTATGAATGTGCTTCCGTCTGTGAGGATCTAGTCGCTCATGGGAATAGATTCCTCCTGACCCACGCACACTTCCACCATAGTATTAAAGTACGGTACTGGAGAAATAAAAGGAGCTATGGCTTGGCTCCTCCGAAGGACCCTTCCTCGCTTCTCTCTGACCCTCACCCTCACTGTCCTCCTCTCCTGCTCCCGCCCGGTTCTAGGCAAGAAGAAGCTCTACATCGGAGCCCTGTTCCCCATGAGCGGAGGCTGGCCGGGGGGACAAGCCTGCCTCCCCGCCGCTCAGATGGCTCTGGACCTGGTGAACAGCAGGACCGACATACTGCCCGACTACGAGCTGGAGCTGATACACTACGACAGCATGGTGAGTGACCAACAGATGAGTGTTCCTGCAGCCTCTCTGCATCTCTGAATACATTGCAATGTATGTTGATCTGAGGGACAAAAGGTTGGATCGTCACTTTAGAATACACAGTAGCAGGAATTCAACTTAACACAATAGAAAAGGACCTGTAGAATATGCAAAATTCATGCAATCATTACTGTGAGCATTTTCTAACCCATGACTGTATCGAGTAAGACCATTAATTGCATAAGTGTCATTTTGGTTTGGGTAGTACACATTTAGATGATTCAAATAGGATATCCTTTGTTCGAAAATGTAAACTAACTACTTTTATTTTATGGTCAGTTGGTGATGCTTTATGAATCAGTTAAAGCCAATCATACAACAACTTTTGGGTTACCAGGTTGTGAAGACTCCCTTTTCATCGGTTAAATCATTTAACTCCAACTTGCTGAACTGCTAATGACCTGGACCAACATGATTCATTACATTACATTTTATTTTATTTAACTGACACTTACACAAAGTCAATGCCGTAGACATGCGTACGGGAGCAAATGGGGTTCGGTATCTAGCCCAGGGACCCTTCAACATATCGTGAGGAGGAGGGATCGAAACGCTGACCCCCTGATGTGCAGATCAGTGTACCAACCCCCTGAGTTTCAGCGAAAATATACATAAAAGCTAGGTGAAGGACACATTGCACATTATCTACCGATCACAGCGGACAAAAGCACATGTGTGTGGTATATCTTTTCACTCTACTCCATATTACAGTTTCCATATAATGTAAAGCCATCATAAGGATGATTGGCAACCATCTGTGTGTTTTAAAAGATACCATTGAGTATGGTTGTAGGCCCAGAGAACTGTTCTATATATACAGAGCAGCAAAACAACTACATGTGTGGTCTTGTTTAAAGAGTGCAGCTAAACGTGTTCAGACAGCCCCGCGCTCCCTGCCTTCCTGTCTGCTCCACACAAACTCCCAGTTTCCACTGGGTCCGTCTGCGCCGCGGTTTTGGTCTAGCGCCATAACCCACCGGACGCGTCCCAGAAGCGTAGCGTCGTGCGTGCAGCCTCGCAGTTTTGTTATTGATTCGGGTTTAATTCGGGTATTAATTAACTTTAAAACATTAATATGTAGTTGTTACCTTCCACTCCACAAACTGCAGAGACTAAAAACCAGGCCTTGTTCTTTCTGATGTTGACCTTGTAGTAAGCATTGGTTACATCATATAAAATAGTGTGTTTTTCCACTTCCATGTTGAAAACCTCGTCGTCCATTGTGCGTATCGTAGTGGAGGTGTTGTGATGAAGGAGGGGGGTCTGCTAAATTAGTAGATGTGGGGGATGGGCCTGGCCCGGATACTCACCTTTCCACTTCCTGCGAGGGGGGGCTGCCTATTGTTAGAAATTAAAATCAATGTTGATATGGCGTAATTTGAATTAAATACACTATTTGATTTAAATCAGTTTTATTCTGAAAAACCGGAAGTTCTCACTATTAGCTTAACACTTTTATTCTGAAAATTTGTCACTTCCGGTTAGCATTTAGCATCCAGTGGAATCATACGATTTCAAACCTTTAACCAAGGTGAAATGACATGTGATGTTGTACACTGAGCACACTGGGATTAGCACTCATTTATTGACGCTGAATAATGTGTAGCAGGGAATGTTTAAATAACCACAGACACCAGAATGATGTAATTTAGCTACAGAAAAAGGCAGGAATTGCATTGGACCCGCCCCCCGACGACGCCGGCCAATAGGAGAAGACCTCAGATGACAACAGGAAGAGCAAGCCAAGAATTGATCTCTTCTACCCCCTGACCTGTACTGACCGATCGTTGGATGTGGAGAGCGCCTCCACTCGCACATTTCATTTTGTACACCACCGCATCTTTTGTGTAATTAAATGCTGTTAACTTTTATAAGCTTCCCTTGACTCTTTTCAGTCTCTCCTGCCTTCAGGGTTCTAGAATTGCTTTCACTGCCCGACTTTACGTTACGGCTGCGCCGCGGCAAAAATAGGATTCATCCTAATTTTAGAGAAGCTCTGAGCCGAGCCGCTTCTGGGACGCGTCTGAGACGCATCTGAGCCGTAACGCGGCGCGTGTGATGGAATAGCACCCATTGACTAGAGTGGCCGCGATTCTTACGACCGCCGCGGCGCAGCCGTAACCGTAACGCGGCGCAGCCGTAACGCGGCGCAGCGCAGTGCAGACGGACCCGGTAGAAACTGGGGGTCAGCCTCATCTGTGTCTCACAGCTTTCACTCAACCTCGGAACATTATGAAAGCAACACAACAACGTGTGAATTCAAACGTGATCTGTGCAGGACATAGACTAATAAACAATGCTATGCAAGAAACACAATTAGAAACTGAAAACAATTGAAACAAAGAGAAATAGAAAATGTTGAATGTTGATCAAGTCAAATGACACTATATCAAACAGTATGGCTCTGCTTTGCTGAATACCTTACTGGATACTGTTCACTTTTTTCGTCCTTACCTTACCTGCATCTCACAAGTTGTATTTGAAGAGCCTATATTTTTATTTATTCATTTATTTGAACAGGGACAGTGCACATTAATCAACATTTCTGTAGATGTGCCAGGGTTAGCCAAGAGGCTATTTTTCATCTAGTCACCCTAAAGAAAAATTTCATATAATGAAGTTTTCGCCCAAAAAATGTTTATCACAAAGTTAAATAATAAATCACAGTCCCAGATTGCTCAACGCTCAGTCATGATCATTATCATTTGAGCTGGGTGCAGTGGTGGCACATCAACAACACACATATTTCATGTTCTGAAATGTGATCAAACTATCGTCAACATATTTTCAAATTACCACATAAAACAATACTTACATATGTAACTAGGGATGAATGAATGAATGGTAGATTTCAGAGGCAGCCTGTTTGCAGAGGGCATGGAGAATGCAACAGGAGTGAGTTGATTTCTATTTCCCATGTCTTGTTCAGGGACATGACATACCAGTTCATGATGCCCTTATTATGCTTTTTGGGGTTTTCCCTTTTCTGTAGTGTGTTATAGGTTTGAATGCATGTGAATGGTGTGCAAAGTTTTAAATGCCTGTGTTCACTCCAGAGGGAGTTTCTCTCCCACACACACCCTGCCTGAAACGCCTCCATTGGACTCCTTTGTTTACTTCCATAATTCCATAATGACATCACTATGTAACACTCGCACTTCTATTGGCTAGCGCTCCAACACATTGCGCATGGTAGGCTAAGGGGTGGGACATCTCTACGACTGGGCTCTGGTTTCAGACAGAGGGTTAAAAAGAGGTGCTGCAGCACAGGCAGTATGAGAACAATAAAGAGCTTTTTGAAAACAGTAGAGACAGTACATACTAATATAAACCTGAAATTGAGCAAGATAGGGCCCCTTTAATAGTTATATAAAGCTACTATACATAGTTTCTGTACGTATAACAAAACACATTGAAATGCTAATCATGCTTTAGTTGTAAAGAGAAACAAATTGATAACCAGCATAATACGGATATGTTCATTATAAACATTCCCGTGAAGTGTTTAATTATGAATATGTTCCAGTTGCTGTTTCTCTAAGTTGAATTACAACAAATGTTTGGTAATTTTTATGAATATTGCATGGTACCAATCCAGCTATTTAGTTAGCGGCCTTCCCCATTTTACAATTTTCTGACTGGTTTTTACAACATGGGGTAACAGCCAGTAATGAGCCCCAGACCTGTGTGAGTCACTGGGCTGATGGAGATGTAATCTCTACAGAAGCCTGACTATCATGTCTTTAAAACATGGACTGTCAAAGTAACATGAGACACGAGTCCTTTCAAGATACTGCATTACCACACAGGAGCAGCTGTCACTAGCTGAATGTAACCGAGACATGATGAACATCTAATGAGTGGCTTTAACTGGCATACATCCTAACATCGGCTCTCATGCTATGTTAGACATGATTCAGGGTCAGGTTGATTACATGTTGTGATGCTCTCAAGAGTTAGAAATAATGACACATCTGCAATTAAGGGATGTTTTTTTCCAACATCGTTCTGTTTGACTGGTCAGTACCCATGTTTGTTACTCCTCACTTGCAATTTGTCAAATAAATACTTTATTAATAGATCTGAACTCCTCACAGATCACAGTTTTAACATTCCGTTTGATGTGTTTAATCTTGAAAGCCCCGGGTTTCTCTCTCTAAACATCTGTGAGAGGGAGATATATCCAAGCTTTCATCTTCAGTATCACTAGCGTTGTACAACATTGCATACTAACCATCATACATACTTAATCAGTATGTTCTGGATACCATATTAACATTTAAAACAATACCATGTAACCATTTGACATCAAAACATTCAAGCAAACGTGTTTAGCAGCCTCTACATCAGGGGTCGGCAACAGGCGGACCCGGTTCCGGATCCGGACCCAGACGCCGACCTATACGGACCCGGACCTATAATCAATACATTAATAGGGGATTTCAATTTTGACGGGGCGATTCTATTTTAACCGCCGCCGACAGGGGGCGAAAGAGACGAGTGAACGATACTGGGAGAGAAGCACAGAAGAAGAGATGAGAGAGCGATACAAGGAGAGAAACACAGAAGAAGAGATGAGAGAGCGGCAGAGAGAAGCAAGCAGAGAAGAAAGTGAGTGAAGAGAATAATTAGCGATACATGAGCCTCATCCCAATACTCCTCGACTCCTCTCTTCCCCTCCTCCGGGACTTGACCCGGAAATCGATCAAGACACGCCATTTTGAAGGACGTCCCAATAGCTGTGTCACTACCCGATCTGTCCCCCTGCCCGATCTGTACTAAGCATGTGCGAGATGGTCCGCCATATTGGACAACTCCGTACGGCAACCCAAGTAGGACACTTGACACAGTGGCTTTTGGCAAATCACAAAAATAAAACTCTAGAGAGATGTCCTACTTTGGTTGCTGTCCGGAGTTGTCTAATATGGTAGACATTCGCAGTACAGATCGGG